AGATGGCAACTTTTACGACTCTGGCTCTCCGTTCAACAGAGATGGGCCGCGATGGATAACCATGGCTGAAAACTGTGGCATCTGTCAATGGCCTCTTCTTCCTCCTAGCCCTATTACACGGGATATCACGTTGCGACCTCGAAAGTTTGATGAAGAAACAAGTAAGAGTAGTGAAGATGAAGCCCCTGGAGATGGCGATTACAATCCACCAACTGACAGACGAGCAAAGTCTCGATCCGAGCCAAACCAGCAAACCCGTCAACGTCATGCATCGCCTCGCAAACGAAATATGACTCAGCGACCGATTCTGCCATATTGCACGCAGGCCTGTCTTCTTAGTCTTGTCAAAGCTTTGCCTCTTGACCCAAGTTGCCCCAATGTCAGCCTGCATCAACAGGGCCAAACGTGCAAGAAGCATCTTATTACCAAAGAAGACCTCTGTGTCCTTTCCAATCTCTGTGTCCTTTCCAAGAAGCAGCTCGCCCGCAGTCTTGATAAAGACTGTGAATGCCTGGATCGAGAGGGCTTGTTTGGGAGAATTGGGGTGCTCTTCAAGATCACCTTGACCAAATATGGATATACTTTTGTAGCAAAAGGCGTGCAGTGTGTAGATGAGCCCGACCTCGCTCATGAAGCCCGTGTTTATACTCACCTAACTCATCTACAAGGAATGAAAGTCCCAGTCTATCTGGGAAACATTACCCTTGAGCGGCCATATCCCCTTGTTAGCCTTGCGCGTGTCACACAGATGATGCTGATGTCTTGGGCTGGGACAAGCATAGGGGGAGAAAGCTGGCCGGCGGATATTGACATTGGAGTGGAAGAGAAGGACATGGAAGAGAAGGACACACCACAGGCATTGGCATCCTCTGGCATCAGTCACAACGACGCCCGAGAGGCGAATCTGGTTTGGAACCCGGAGCAAAAACAGGTGATGGCAGTTGATTTTGATCAGGCTACGATTCACCGCGCTCGAAAGCGAAAGGCAACCTCCCCTCCACTACCACCTAAGCCAAAAAATGATTGGGAATCAAAGGAAACGAAATACACAAGCCGCGTCTCATACAGGGATGAGTGAGTTTGGCAAGGTGAATATGAATCCTGCGAGTCTTGACGACTAAGTACATGTACCTCATTACCCGCCGTCAGTTCCTCGGATGGCACTGCTCTATTGTTGCCAACTTTCTGTCGATATTGGCTTCAAGGTAGGTGGGTAGCTAGATGGTGGTGTAGCTAGATGGTGGTGTTTATTCTCATAGGGGTTGATTGGTCATTGAGCAGGCAGGTTGGGTGGTAGGTAGAGAGGTGGATAGGTAGCTAGATATCTAGCTAGTATTCTATATTCCATTAGCAATCAATTGGATATTAAGCAGATAGATAGCTCATCTCTTATTGTAATCTTGACAAGCCCGTTACGACAACCTAAATAGAGCCTTGAGCTAGGAAAGCTCACCCTTCTTGTTCTTCATAGACTTTACCAATTCGAGCGCTTCTACTCTTTCAAGAATATATTGATACTATAGCTTCCAGAGCAGCATAGCCAATGAATAATCCGGGGAGGGGGATTCCGGTAGCGTTATAATTAGCATTCCAACATAGACCCTGCTTCGTATGGAGGATGAGCCGGTCCTGATAATCTTCAATATCATTGTATAATATATATTGTTTGCATCTCCGAAATTGGGATCTTTGGTTGAAAAGATGCACTTGTTATTCAAGTAGCCAAGAGGAAAACCAGAACCATACGAGATACAAGGAGACAAAGGCACAGTCTCGGGAGTGGTTGTTGCTGACCCATAAGGTCATATGGTCGATTGATTTTTTGGGGCTCTGGCTGTGAAGAGTGCTCTGTCTACAATAAGGAATGGAGTATAGTCTGGTCTGATTGAAAACTATATATTGAAGAACAGTTCGACTCTATCAAATTCCAATGATATATATATTCAACATTTAATATGAACATGGGTATTGTAGCATGTGAAATAATAACCAATGAGCCAAAGAGAAAAAAAGGGGGTGTGTGGTGGGGGATACATTCTCCGATTGTTGACAATTTGAGATAGGGGCGAATATTAAACAGACATGAATACAAATTAAACATCACATAGAGCGACAAAGAAAAAAACACAAAGAGGTAAACAAATCGATTCTGCCCATGTGTCCCTCGTGTTCGCCTGGCTTCGGTATTCTGGGTTGGGAACGAAGGGACGCGGGGCGCAATACACAGAATTTCGGAACGCCATGAAATTTGCTCGTGTCGGAGCCAGAAGAGGTAAATCATTGCCCAAAAAACCCTGTTAACATCCTCCCAGATGACAGGTAGTCCCCAAATTTCGAAGGCGATGTATCGTTGAAGTGCTTCATATAAAGCGACTCCTCAGGACTGATGGTGCGACAATCACCCAGTAAAGTAGGATCGTGGTAAGACCCCGCGTTGTTATCCCGCCGGCTGTCGAAGGGGCTCTCGCATCCTCCCAGATTGCACCATAGCGTAACGCGCATATCGCGCACTTTTGTCTGAGGGTTCGTAGTCATCGTCGCGCGCACTTCCGCGTCGCTGTTGGGATAGTGGATGAAGACGGTTGAGTCCGCGCTGCGCTGGTTGAAGCTGAATTTGGAGAACTTCAGGTACATCTCTGGGATCATGTTGTCCAGCACTCCAATCTGCAGGTGGGCTTTGAAGGACGGGTTTATGGCCCGCTTCGAGATGTCGAGCTTTAGGATGAGCTGGCCATCTACAATCTTGGCGTTGGAGCGGAAGTAGATGGCGGTATTCAGCTTGACGCATGCAAACCAGCCGTGGTGTCGGAACTAAGTCCGAATATTGCCCCAAATACTGAATATCAATAAAATAGATTGAATTGCTAATTCTAACTCCTAATAATTACATGATAATCAGGCAGTATTTATAGGGAAATCTGTGCTTAAATATACACATGAGATATTACTGAGCATCAGTGGGGCATTGCTTGATTTCATATAGTGAGACATTGCAGATTCTATATTATTCCAGAATCTTCAATAATAAAACTTATCAAATTCTTGCTTTGATATACTCCCTTCAGCTGAATAACATCAGTATTGAAGCTGGACAGATTATCAAAATAGGAAATAATATAGAAAACATGATGATTAGCAAATTGAAAAGAAATAGATAAAGATGATGTATGAGGATGTTGAATTTCTTCTATTTGATATTGTTGAAATTTTATATCTTATTTTGATATTTCATTGATAAGATCAGTTATATCAATTAATTCTAGTTGTTTGATGAATTTTCTTTACTTTTATTGTGATAATAACTTTGTCAATTCATCTGCTGATATATTGTTTGTAGTCATTCATTGTACTAAGATATCACTGAATTGTATTTATTCTCACAATCAATTACTGTAGATATCAACATGGCATAGCTTGATTGTGATAGACGAATCTTTCTTAGAAAGAATATCAATTGCTTGTCAATTATCATATTGAATTGAAATTTTATACTTTGAATCAAATTCTAGATGATCAAAAAATCATTTTCATCAAATTAATTTGTTATCTATCTGTGATATAATTAGTAATTCAATTTCAATGATAAAAGTTGTTATTATTATCTATTTCTTTAACTTTCAATCAACAAATCTTTTAAAGAATTTGAAGATATAATTTTCAATTGATTTTCTATTTGAATTATCTACAAAAGAGACATCATTAACTGCTTCAATTATATTCATCAATAAGTTATCATTATCAAATATACTATATTCAATTATTAGATTTTTTAAATTTCATAGATAGATAAAATGAAAATAAAAACAAAAACAAAAATTACAGCAAATACATAGAAATAAAAGGGAAAAAAAAAATAAAAATAAAAATTGAGTTCATTATCCGATCAAGTTATTCAATTAAAATTTTGTAACAATATTTGATTTTTTCAAATATTCAATCAAGAATTCATTTCCAGTTTTTGTATTAAATAAAAGTTTTAAATTTAATTATCTCAATTCAAACTTCTCTATCAATCTCAATCTTAACTCTGTATGCTTTGTATAAAGTAAAAGATGCTCTGAATTTTTATATAACTGACAATTTGAACATAAATCATTTAAATCATTTCTAATCATTGTTAAATATGATTTAAAATAACCATATTCAAGCTTTAGCTGCATTATTGTAGCAAAAAGTTTCTTTTTACATTTTATTAAACAAGTTTTCCATTTTGGCTTAGCTTCAAACCTGGAATAATATACACTCTTTTTTTGTAAAAACCAGATATCTTACCATTTTTGCAAACATGATTCTGTTATTTTTCTCTTAATAAAAGCTCACATTACAATTCTTTGAAAGCAGACTTCTAATTTAATTGCTTTTTTTACAGCTTTATCAGTCATTTCATTACCATATATATCTATATGAGCAGGCATTCAGTGAAGATGAATAGAACAATTGAATGAGGTTTTTCTTTGAATATTTTGAAGACTTTTTGAAATCAGCTCTAACATTAACTGTCCACTGCTGATTTTATTACTTTGAAGTCTTTTAAATTTAATCTGATTATTAACGAATATTCAAATATGCTCAAATCTTTTCCATTGTTCAATCTTCATTTCAATCAATTTGAAAGCTCTTGAAATTGCAAATACTTCAGCATTAAAAACTTCTGACTTAATTTCAATTTGTCAAAAATCAATAATATAGTTTTTATTATTTTCTGAATATGCTATTCCAGCTTCAAGATTGTCTGTTTTCTCAGATTTTAAACCATCGATGTATATAAGAATTGCTTTGTTTTTCATTTATTTTAGAAGATTTAGATGTTGTTCAGTCTGAACTTCTTTTGAAAGTTGATTAATATTTAAATCAATAAGACTGACAAGATCTTTCTTTCAAGAAGAGAGATTTTTAAAAACCACTTTCTCCACATTTAAACTTGAAAAACTGTCTTTAATCATGAAGCAAATTCTAAATAACTGAGATGGTATCTTCTTTCTTTACACAGCTGTTGAATTATCAAATGAATTTATTTCATCTCAATAAAAATAAGACTCTCAATTTAGATTACATAGCTATTCTATGCAGAATGCATTTTAAACTAGTTATATATTATAACTTCTATAATCAACCGACCACTGCTCTTACAGCTTATACATTAGAAATATAGAACAATTATTGCAGATATGTTACTCAGCATCAATATTAAATATTCAAAAATTTCAGCCCCGGTGGCCGAATGGGTAATGCGGCCATTAGATAATGCCTTGGCGTCGGGATTCAAGACACATGGGTTTGAAATCTATAAGAGAATAACATTACATCTGAAGCCAACTTCTCAGCTTCTAAAATAAAGAAATGTGAATTTGTTAAGTAGATACCTTCAAGCAGATCTATTATCTGATTCAGCTTATTATTTCTGAGTTGGAAATCTGCATTGTGAGTATCAAATTCTGTCTTTCATTAATTTTTCTATGATTCTATTATATTTTTAACATCATTCAACATTAAGCATTCCTTCTGTATAACCAACTCTTGCCTGTATTTAACATTACACAAGGACTCGTCATAAGCACTGCTTGCATATGAGTATAACGAAAGAATAATAATAATAATAATATTCAAAAATTTCAGATATAGAGGCATTGTTCAGAAGAATAGTTTTCAATATTCATATTTAAAGATTTCATTAATTGATTGACAATTGTGATATCAGAAATGATAAAAGATTGATCAGTAAAATAATAAATAAAATAATTAATAGAATAATTGATAAATTCTTTTCGTTGAAAGAATCATTCCTTTCACTGTTGATTCTATCATCTCAGTATTAGAGACAGCTATATTGATTATTATTGCATTTATTTTTTTCTTGATATCTTTATTTTTAAATGTTTTATTCGTTTTTTTATATCTTTGTTCATTGTTATTCTATTTTTCTGATCTTTGATTTGAATTGAAATAACAACATTTGATTTAGAAATGTTTAAAATCATAAACACAGATTTTAAATTTTGATTGTTCTGTTTGTCCGTCATTAAAAATAACAAGATTGAATACAAACAGTTCTGACTTACTATATATTTTTTTATGATATTAAAAACAAAAGTCATTAATCATATTTATAAAGAAATAATTCTCTTTATCCTCTATCTCAATTTCTTTTATTTAAATAGCAGTATATAAAGAATTGATTAATATATTAATAAGAAAGAAGTTTTTTCATATATCAAAATTGTGATCTATTTCAGAGTTTTTAAATTCTGTTTCAATCAGAGTTCAGATATTTAATCACTGATTCAAATTCTATTTAAACATCTTCTACAAATTTTAATATCTTTTTCATATTTTATATCAGCAATTTATTATTTTAGATGATAATTTCTTCTTGAGAGCAATTAGAAAATTCTTCACATCAATATGAGAGTTTTCATTAATTATAATCTTTAATTCATTAAATATCAATGTTTTAAAAATCTTTTGCTTGATTTTATTAATTTCAGTAAGTTTATCTTTATAAAGATTTCTGTTATTGTTATACTTACTATTCTCCATCTCTCATTTAATCTTTGTTTTCAGAGTGTGCTCAGAAGGAAACTGAGAGAATAAAAGCAGATATATCACTCATTTTATTGAAATTTTTCTCACTGATAAAATTTAGTACTTGAAACTCATCAGCAAAATCTAATATAATAATATATCATAAATTTTATTTTCTAAAAGAATTCAAAAAAAATGAGTTTTTAATTGAAAAATTTTCTGCTGACATTTTGATTGATTGTAAACAGATATAGAATCAATATAAAATCAAATGAACAATCAATACAGAATTAAATAGAATTGAAATCATTCATTGATAAACTGTATTAATCGTATATGATATGCCATTATCAAATCAAATCAATCAAATAGATATAAATATAATGCTGCAATCATGTCAATGAGATAATAGATAAAATTGAATCAATTGAATAGATAAATATAATAGATATCAATATAGTTATAGATAATTAGTCAGACTCATAACTGTCAGAATTAACTAAGTTTGAATATTGTTTCAAATATTGAATATCAATAAAATAGATTGAATTGCTTATTCTAACTCCTAATAATTACATGATAATCAGGCAGTATTTATAGGGAAATCTGTGCTTAAATATACGCATAAGATATTACTGAGCATTAGTGGGGCATTGCTTGGTTTTAAATGGTGGGATGTTGCAGATTCTATATTATTCCAGAATCTTCGATAATAGAACTTACCAAGTTCTTGCTTTGATACGTGGAAGCTCAGGTCGTTGGTGGTGCATCCGTTGTCGTGACCCAACCGGTAAGCTTGCATGATGAGTTGAGCTTTCCTCGATGGTAGTCGGAACCCTGCAATCGGAGCTTCTCTGAGCACGTCGTTTTTGTCAAGTGGACTTTCATCTAGCGACGAGGTTGAGGTGCTGCGCGGTGCAGAGGGGCTAAGTGTGCCTCCGACTCCGGAAGTCATAGGCCCTTGAGGTAGACAGGAAGTTGGAGTGCTGGGTGGAGGAGTGGGACCAGGAGCGCCTCCAACGCTAGGGCTAATACGCCTTTGAGTTGGTCTGTAGCGAGAAGAGCCATTGTCGGCTACAGTTGCCGGCTCCGATAAGTCACCTGGAGGAACAGGTTTGGTGTCTCCAGGACGTGTGATACGTGATTTTGCAGATCGGCAGATGGAACGAAAACGCTCGTAAGCTCTTTTCGAGGTCTCCAAAGCTGCACCCATTTTGGAATAGGTAGAAGCTGATCTCTGTGTTTGTAGAGGCTAGTTGGAAATATTGAGGCTCAGCGCAATATTGAAGAGCTTTGTGATGCGCTGGAGATCGAAGCGTTCTTTGGTTTCTGGAGCGCTTTTTTATATCGCAGTGTCTTTAGAAGTCAAAAGCAGGCAGTAATCAGAGGCGCAAATTTGCCTGAGTTGCTTGCAAACTTGACGAACAAAGCAGAAGACTTCAATCAAAAACGGTATGGAGGTGTTAACTGAGTAGCAGACATTTGAGGAGTTGGAAAAAGGGAAAAAAAAAAGAGGAAAGGAAAGGAAAGTAAAGAGAGGATAAATAGCCCTGAGGAGCGCGATACCCCTCTTTAAGCAGAGGTTACTGGGAGGCATCTTGAAATGCAAAATTGACGTCAATCGAAACATGCTTCCTATGATACTTTGAGACTGGACGCTTAAGGTTAGCAACGACGTTGAGAACCCAAAAGTTTGCCAAAGACGTTCACCATCTCTCGAACTCTGTTTCCATGCCATTTCCAGCTTTTAGTAAAATAGTATCCTTGTTGTTAGTATCGTTGGACTTGTTTAAACGTGTTGGTAATATGCAAAATGGGACAGGATGTTGATTTGCTTGTGGGTTTTAACTAGCGCGTTTCGCGCGTCTGGCGGCAAACCCTATTTTTATATCATCAATCGACTCGACACAACTTCACGATGGCGCTGGAGTTGTTGGCAGTTAATCCATATCATATACGATCTCATATCAACCATGATCCACCGGATTTGGTGGCCCGGGTCCGTTGTACCGTTGCATCCGAATGGGGTTGCAGCTTCCAGAGAACTGGAACTATCTAAGTTCGCAGTTCTATGGTAGCTACCGCGTGAACCCAATTTCTAACCGTGGGAAGGCTCAGATCATTTGCATATATAACCGTTTTTTGACCTCCGATACAAAATGTTTATAAAATATATTTTGACGTCATTCTCGCTTCTAGAGGCTCAATCGACGGCACTCGGTGTGAGTATTGAGTACACGTGAAAGAAGCCTTTCGTATGTTCTGCGGGGATATTGATCAACGGTACTAGTATGCATCCCGTTGTTTCTCTGCACGAACGTAAGTGTTTTTCCTGCGATGTCCATGATCCACTGTTGAAATGCCGTTGCTTAGACGCTCCTTGTACAGCCTTCATATTTTCCAAATATTCCCTGGGCTATGGAGCGGATTTATTTTTGGTAGTGACATGTTTTTGATAGACACAGGCAGTGGTACAGAAAACGATTTCGACGCTTAAAATCGGCAGAAATCAATGTTGCTGCTCTGGCCTTCAGGCTCCTAAAGTACAAGTACAGAACGTCTTTCCTTTCAATTTTCCATCACACTGCACCGCTAGCCCTAGGAACAGGGAAACAGAATGTGCATGCCTATCGAGTGATAACGTATGCCAATAAAAAATAGTAGATTATAAAAAAGAATATTTACCATCCCCTCGTCACCTGGGTGTTTCTGTCTTCATCACATTTTTATTCTTCCTCATTTTTAGGAGTTGGCATCGTCGTCCATAAGCGCCTTTTCCTTCTCGCTTATCCCTGTTCCAGCCGCCAACCTCGTCAAGGTAGCAGCAGCTAGCTCTGGCTTCCGCCCATGTCCGAATAATCGATATTGTGCGGGCGAGTTGATGCCGAAATACACTGCTTTCAGCACTGCGAAGGCACGGAATGGATTCGAGGTGACAAGTCTATGTAAAAGGCGGGCGAACGTGGGGTTCGCGTCGAGATCGGCAAGGAGAGAGTCGCAGTAGGGAAGGAAATGGACGTTTATTGTATGACGGTCGGAGACCACCATCTGAAATTTGGTGAGCAGGGTTTGTTGTGAGATAGCGATTTTTGTTTCGAGATATCGCTCCAGCACAGTAGAGAGAATGGGTGTGTAACATATGAATGGAAAATGAAACGAGGATGTACATACTGTTTTAGTTAAATTCGCCTGGTACTCTTTCACCTGCCGAGTCATCTCATCGGCTGACGGCAGTTTCACTTTGCCTGTCACTATTCCCGACGCCCACCTTGCCTGGGATTCGGCAACGGGAAAGAGAGGCCCAGGTAATTCGACACAGCCGATAAAGAAAAGATTAGGGAACCGAGGAGAAACGACCAATTTATACAGGTCGAGCGTGTTTGGGGATTTCAAAATTGGATTGTCCTTCACATGGTAGGTTTCCTTCGGTAGGTAGGGCATATCCATATGGTAACCAGTGCAGCAAATTACTACGTCAACATCTAGCTCTGTGTCATTGGTAAGAACGAGAGAAGTTTCGGTAAACTGTTTCACAGTCGCGCGATGGACTTTGACTTTCCCAACGTTAATGAACTCAATCAGATTGCTATGCACAGTCACGCTCGCCTGTAGTATTTTGTGGTCCGGTTTAATCACCTCCGGATGCTTGCCGATGGCAAAGTCCATTATCTTTGTTTGGACCCATTTTGAAAGACTATCAGGTAGAAGTGTCTCAGCAACTCGATCTAGAGTTTGCCCCTTTAGGTTAGATAACGAAGAGACGCACATATTACTGGAGCCTAGAGGATCAAAAATAACTAGAAAACTTACTGTCATATGACTCGAGTGGCTGACCGATTACATAGCGAGGTATAATCCACCCGCCTCTCCTCGTAACCATGTGCACCTCCTTTGCCACTGGAACCAGCTCGCAAGCCAAATCCACAGCTGAGGAGCCGAAAACCAATGAGGGCAACCTTTTTCCCCTCAAATCTGGCCGGCCTCCGGTACACATGACTGAAGAATCTCCCCTTGGAAAGAACTCATGCCTTCAAAATCAGGGGTTGAGGGGTAAGAATTATGTCCAGTACAAGCGAAAATGGCGTCATATTCCGATGTTATTTGATCTGCGCCCTTTTCTTCATACACCACGGTCCACCTCCCGTCTGGGAGTTGGTTGCAGGGGGTCACTTTGGTATTCAATTGTATATACTTCCCCAGCCCAAAGTGGCTGGCGTAGTCCTCTAGATAATTTAGCATCCTGCGATGGCTGAAATATGTCGGATATTGCGCAGGATCAATGGGGAAATCGCTATAACACGATGTATCACGGGCAGAGTTTAGAATCACTCCTTCATAGATGGAGGATACGGCATCGTCCGTTTCCGGGGCCGGGTCTTCATAGCGCCACTGCCCTCCGATTCCATTGCGTCCTTCGAATACAACAGCATCCAGGCCATTGTCCAAGCATTCCTTGAGTGTGGTTAAGCCCGAGGGTCCTGTAAAGCTGTTTAGATTCGTTTCGTCGCAGGAGTGGGAAGCTCGAGCAGGTAGTTATTTTCACATACCACCCCCGATGATAGCAACTTTTTTCGCCGCCATGGGTTGAAAGCTAGGTTGAATTTTTGTGTTGATATAGCGCTAGATGGAAGGCTTGAAGGGGTATAGGGCAAAAAAAAAAAAAAGAAAAAAAAAAAAAAAAAAGGGCCAAGGACAAAAAACAAATGAATTAATGAATAAAACCGAATCAAAACTAATAGAGCTTCCCAGTGGCCTCAAATATAAAGTTTCAGTAATGTATTGCAGAGAAAATAGAGATAAGAGAAAACAAAAATGGGTATAATGAGCGTGATATGTTACAGTAGAAAACAGACAGACGATAAAAGATGAAGTCGAAGACAGATTTGCAGCGGAGATTGCATGCCTCAGGAGTCAAGCTTCGCCCAAGAGAGTGACCCGTATTCCGGTCCGTGTTGATTGGTGCATTTTGCGAGCAACTCGACGCCGCTAGGAGATTGCCAGCGACTCCTTCATATACAGGGAGCCTTGTTTGGTGAAGGCTGAACCTGTCCGCCAGATGTCGGGGATTTTCTAATGTCAACAAGCTGTCTATGGCCCAATGAACTCTATTCCTCAACGGAATTGGAATTTCCGATGCATCCACAGGATTACACAGTGATATGCCAGGTATATAAATAGTACCAATTTTAAAGCCCGGTCGGTCCCTGAGTGGTTGGCGTACTTTGGTAAGGCTTAGGTTTAACAAGTTAGTTAACTAGTTAACTAACACTAACTATCGTGATTGATCTTTCACCCTTGATATGGACCTGAAGAAATGAGCTTCGGCCGACAGGCTGCTTGTCAGCCGAATCATGAATTTGAATATGTTACCAGTTGATTTATCCAAGAGAGAATATACACCATGTGGTGTACGCCGTCGAACGCATACGATCGAGAGTAGCTCGATACTAGTACTAATATTGGCATATAAGTAGCCTGGGTCGTTATATGAGGTTTCGAACCGAGATTGAAGGGTGAGAGCGGCCAAGAACTGAGCAGCAGACTGATCTTCAGGATTGATATTATTGCATTGTCAGCTGCATTCTGGTAGACAGTGGTAGTAAACAATTAATTGGTCACTAGTCAGCTATGGTCTGGTTGGAACAGTACCTTGAGAAATGCCATCGAAGGATTGAATGAACCCCCAGGTGTGCTCCGTCGTCCTGCTAGATACATATAAACCCATGAGGGTTCAGCATAATATTTTAATAAACTCCACTCTGCAAAAACGCATCAGAGATGCCGAAATTTGATATTGATATTGGATGCAGGGTTCTTATATATGCCGATCATGAGGGGTGGTCATCCATAAAACGCACCTGTTGTGTGGGGGACCTAATACGGGCTAGTGCCACACACCACATCCACTAAAAGGGATCAATCCTTGAAGCAAGGAACCTGCTGCACAAGATATATATCCATATGCATGATTCGCAATAGCCCCTTGCAGATAACAACCCATACAACCACTCAGATGTCCAACAGGACCACCATGTTTTTCGCATGGGCAAACTTATTTGGGGAATGGAGCGGTATTTTGTGGAACCTGTCATCTTCCCGCCTCTTTTAAAATTCACATCACATTTCTACCTTCGGCAGAGGCTAGAAGCGCGTTAGCATGACTCAGTTGACTGCTATCACTAAAAGAAGGACGGGAGCGTTCGACTGAGGGAACCCTAGCTGCGACCGCAAAACACCCCAATTTACTGCAGGAGGGAGACATCTCATCAATGGCAGGTCGACGAAGTTTTCCACTTCCGAAATTGCTGAATTGTTCAGCCAATGAGGCCTGCCTTTGCCCCCAACCTGCCTTTCCGGCGTGGTTCTGGCTGGGCGTTTAGAGAGCTCGGGGTCCCTTGTCTTCTGGGGCGATTCTTCAAGACTCCTCGTCGTTGGCGTGGATTTGCGGACATTTCAGGATTCACCTGCTGGCTACGGCGGCGACGTCTTCTAGCAGGAGTTGGAGCTGGAGCTGTGTCATACATTGTACTTTTACTTGTTCCACTCCGTGCCTCGATCCTGGAGCTTCGACGCACTACTGGTGGGGATTCTCCAGTGTCCAATCTGAAGTTCCGTTGTGGCAACTGTGAGGAAGTGGGAAATGAATTCGCATCGTCAGGCTGTTGCTCCTGTTGCTCAGTTCCTGTGAGGTTACCCAGTGCACGTCGACGGGCGTTTGCGGACCCAGTGATATCCTGAATGCGTTTTTGCAGGTGACGTCTTGGAGGATTCCGTTTGGGGTGTTTTGTAACTTTTGATGAGCTATCTGCCCGAAGAGTCCGGTTGGCTGACTCACAAGGCACTGGTGTACCCTCCATATTAACCGCTGCGCGGCTTGATCGTTTGATTTTCTTTGTAGTGGGGGACTCAAGGGCTGCTCGATTAGAGTCTGCTACCGTTCGGAGTGCTGATGGGGATCTATCCCCGCCCCTTTGATCGTGGTTTGCCTCGGAGGATGCCAAACCAAAAGTAATACGACGGCCGGTGGAGTGGCGAGATTGTGCGTCAATTTCGGCAGCGTTAGCTCGAAATCCCGCTTCTGGAACTGCGACGGGGTGGTTCGAAATATCAGATTCATGGTTGTCAGGCTCTTCGTGGATCCAGGTCATTCCGGGCATATTACCCCACCTGGGATTCCAGATCTTGTGTTCGATCCAGCGATTCTTGACGTTTTCATAGACCTTGGAGTCAATGTCAAAAATGTTGATGTACAATTCATCTTCAATCCATTCGCGTTCTTTGGACATCTGGAAAAGAAACTGATGGTACGGATGAGAGGCTACCCTTTCACGCTCAACGGATGCCAGCTGTTCCTCAGTATAATCTTTTGGTGGTTCCTGTGGTTTTGGGCACTTTCGAGGTTCTAGTCCGAATCTAAGTCTTGGGGGGGATGATGAGCATGGCTGTGGTTTGGGGTCGGTGCTGGTGGTGGTTCAAGAGTCTTTCGTATTTCCAATGTGGCCCAACAGTGTATAAACTCCATTTATCATTCCATATCCCTTGTTCTACCCAGTGATTTTTGACATTGTTTTCCGCATTTCCCATGAGGTCGAACTTGTTGTTGTAAGACAGCGTGTATTTCCGTCTTCCCACCTCCTGTGAATCTGTTCAATGAGCAGGTCATACTCCCTCCCAGTCTGGTACCTGAACTGCCTACCAGGGGTTGAACTTTTACGTTCGTCTTCCCGCTACCATTGTCGTAGAGATTCTGAAGGAGAAAGAGGAAGGCTGGAGGCAGTGTTGCCTCATCTGACGGTTATGGTGGTGGAGAGTCGAGATACTGCTCTCGCTCTCGAGCAAGGAGTTCTGGATCGTTTTGGAATCTTTGAAGGGCATTAATGAGCTGTGGTAGAGCGTTGCCTCGAAGAAGGTTAGGATCGGAAGCCATGATCAGAACAGTAGTAGAAGAAGAGTTGCAAAAGTTGAGATCTGTCAAAAAGGTGATGGATAAAATACCAAGAAGAAAAAAGGAGAGAGAGAATAGTGTCGAAAAGTCGAAAATTGGTTGTTGTTGACAATTTATCTCACATGTTGGTGTAGCAGAGGGGATTATGAACCCTTTCTGAAACGTATGAGTACGTCCAGTGCATTGTATCGAACGGGACACTGACCCCTGGAGGTTGAGACAATCGCTTCATCGTCTTAATCAACGAAGCCGTTTGCGTCAGTTGCGTTTGCGGCGGACTGTAGTGAAAAATGTCTCATGGCTCGTATTTCTAACACATTTCAATCTTTTCTTATGTTGTTCATAAATGCACCAACTATAACTAACTAACCAGTGAACCTTATTATAACTAACTGTTGGAGGGATTGGATTGGGTGATTCGTACCCTCTATACCACCACGGCGCTGGTGGTGATTAAGCTCTTTGCCCTAGTGGCCTAATTTATACTAAATGAATTAAAATTAGGCTCCCGCTCCCGCTTAGGCTGCGTCATAAGGCTGCAAGTTGCATCCAACATCCGATATATACCTCAACCTCGTGAGAAGACGAACAACGAGGATAAACAAAGGAAACGAGGGTTGGCTCACTCTCCCCGTATATTTACTATGGAGCGACTCTCATTTGTAAGGGAAAATTGTCCCCTTCCTCAACTGTTCAAGGCAATCTCAACTTAATACTAGTACTGTTTTCAATATTTGATATTTTCCACAATAACAGTGGACGGCATGCCACGCCCATGTCCTCATCCTCTCGCTCTATTTTCTCTCGTACCACTGGAGAACAGGGCTCGTGCTGCTCTCGACCATCCAGATAACAGTCATCTTGTGTCAACGTTCAATGACGACGATGGCAACCAAGTTGCCGGAATAGATATTGGCTTCTACATTGGCTTAACTTCACGCTATACCCTCGCGACTCTCGGACGCAGCGGTGCCGATGTCATAGTGGAAGGCTCAGGCATCTCACGAATCCAATGCTCATTCGAGTTGAACCCAGCTTCTCATGTGGTTATGCTCTATTATCGGTCAAACTCTTAACTACCCAAGTGTTTGGTCGAAATGCTGTATCATTTGAGACCGGACGCATCCGTCGAATCGCCGTGGAGCCACTGCTGAACACCAGATTCGGGATTGGCGGTGTCAGATCTGATCTATTTCAGTTCGAGATGCGATGGCATCGGCGCACATTTGATGTGGAAGAGCAAGTCAACAATCAGGTGGACAACCCCCGTCTGACTCGAACAGTGGATGACATACCAACTGTCCTACCTTCCCAGCGTCTCACTAGAATCCACACGCCTGGCAATCGACTTTTGAATATAAGATATAGGAGAAAGGATCAACTTGGAGCCGGAACAATCAGTGAAGTTTGGAAAGCTGTAGATGCTGACACTGGAAACATTTTAGCTCTCAAGCTATTTAAGGAGCCTCCACCTGGATCCTCGGAGCAGATGCTGGTTCGTATAAAGAGAGAGATTGAAGCTCTCGCTAGGACTTCTCATGTCAGTTAAGTTTTCTTTACTTTCTTTATCTACTAGCTAATGTCAATCAGCCACACATCGTCGAATACATACACCATCAGGAGGTAGGGGGATAACTGGAGATATTCATGCCCTTAAAGAAGGGAGCTTGATGCTCCAAGATCACTTCAAGGAAAACTCCTTTCTTGTCAATGCTCTTCTCCGTCAAATGTTCCAGGCACTTGATTATCTCGCCTTTTTTGGTATCATACATTGCGATGTCAAACCCGCTAACATTCTTTACCTATCATTGTCTGAAAATCAATGTTGCTTTCAGCTCGCGGACTTTGGTGTGTGCAATTCCTATCGTAATGCTAGAACATGTGTCG